AGAGGGCAGTGTCACTGGCCCTCATATGTGGGATCCGAACCGGGGCCCTCTGGCATCCCAAGCGAGTTCTTAACCATCGCGTCACTCGGCCGGCCCGTGACCAATATCTTGACAGTCATATACCATTTAACGATGGGGATCCATTTTGAGAAATGCATCGTTAGGCGATTTTGTGGTTGTGAGAATGTCATACAGTACACTTACACAAACCTGGATGGTAGAGCCCGCTACACCTAGGCTAGATAGTATACCACCATTGTGTATATGTAGTCTGTCACTGACTGAATTATCGTTATGAGGTACACCACTGTAGTAACAGGTGTTACCAACCCTTCTCCTGTGCAGCATCTACTATAGAACTTGAACTTTCAGGCACCCTGACAGCCTCTCTTGCAGCTAATGGTAGCTATGGGACCCACCTGTGGCCAATGAGACATAAAAGAATATTTGCGGGAAGCTTCCTCGTAGAAAGGACAGGCAAAAGAGGGGAGAAGTCTCATGTCCACCCCACCTCCTCACCTCCTCCTTCATGCATTTAATGAGGATGCCTGGAACTTGACAAGACAAACTTGAAGATATAATGCTAGATAACCAAGTGAAAATAAATTTTAAAAGCTTACATCATTGCCGACACCACTGAGCAGCTGAACCAGCTGCAGCAAATGCTTTCCTCTGTACTTATTATGTGAGAAAAATATACTATTTGTTTAAGCCACTGAGAGTCAGGTGTCTGTTACCTACAGAGGCTTATATTACTGATGCCTGAGTATTCAGGGAGACCTGGAGAAAGGCAAGAGAATAAATACAAACGGCTGCACACAACACATCACTGTGCAGAGGAAGCAATTCCATAGCAAAATGCACATTTCACACCCAGATGAATGGCATTTTTAACAATATCAAAGATATAACAATTTTCATTAACAAAAGTTAAAATAGAGAACACCTGCAACAGTGATTGAAGACCTGAGAAGGTCAAGACATCCTCTAATCAGATGGGTTTAAATGGAAACATCATCTCTGGGTGTCCTGCCAAGAGCATATATTATTGCCAAATTCCTAATTCAAAACCATGTAATAAGAATGCTTTAACTGAAACACAGAAGCTAAAAATAAGACTTTTAAATAGTAATCTTCCTTCTCTCCTAAAGATAAATGTGCCCATTAACTCTGATGCTAACAGGAAGATTTCTTTCGCTTACCTTCTATGTGACTAATTTTTTTTTTCCAAGCCATTCATGAGGAAATTGGAATGGAAAAAATAATTGAGGAAGTTGACTCCTAATCAGCTACTTCACTGAATTAAAGTGCAATCAGGTTTATAACTTTTAAGTGGGAATATAAAACATGTGTATTAAATGCCTCTGCATGAGACACTGTGTGTGCAAACATGGTGGTGGGGTGGGGGGCAGGTGGGTACAGAGATAGGACACACACATGCTTTTATGGAGTTCATCATCTAGTTAGAGCAGGATGAGATCAATGTGAAAAGTTCAATGAAATGTTTCAGTAATAGTTCTAGACAGAAGAGATGTCATAAAACAGTGCATGATTCATTGCCAGAAAAGACTGTTACTGACAATAACTGCAGCAGGATTTCAGAGAAGAAAAAGATCACTTCGAGCTGAGGAAGGCCTGGGGGAGACTTTATAGAGAAAGCAGAATCTCCGCTCAATCTTGAAAGATGCATCTAAACCTGTGGGTGGGCCCAGGGAGCACATTAGCAGCCTCCTGAAAAGCCTGCTTTTGGGTTTTTTCCAGGTGAGACATCCTCCAAGATGTTGGGTGACTGGTGCAGGAGGGGAGGCAGGTGGATGATGCCGGATTATAGAGGAACCGTGGAGATTCCAAATAAAATGGCAGCCAAAAGGTGAAGGCAATCCAGGAGTCGATCAACAGATGAACGGATACACAAAATGTGATATACTATTCTGCCTTTGAAAGAAAAAAAAATTCTGACACGTGTTACAATACGGATAAACCTTGAAGACATTATGCTAGGTGAAATAAGTCGTCACAAGGACAAAGTTCTGTATGATTTCACTTATACAAGGTACCTATAGTCAAATTCAGAGAAACAGAAAATAGAATGGTAGTTGCCAGAGGCTGAGGGGGGTGGGGAATGGGGTTTAGTGTTTAATGGGCACAGAGTTTCAGTTTTTCAAGACGAAAAAGTTCTGGGGATGGAGGG